GTCCCCCCCCCCCCCCCCCCCCCCCGCCGCCGCCTCTCAACTAACAAGGGTCATTTGATGCCTCTGCAGACCAACTCTTCATCGACTAGAGCTCGTCTCGCTTTCATATTGCCAGCCCAATGTTGGGCCCACCTCTTTTCTGATGCAGCAGCGTCCCTTCTTTTCTTTTTTTTTTCCTTTTTTTTTCTTTTCGATCGACAGGCTTGAATGGAGTTCCAATGGTTCATTTCGCTCAACAGCATGAAGACCGCAGCAAAGCCGCAGTTATAGACAACATGCTGACATTGTCGGCCTTTTCGCTAAGCTCAAGTGTAGTACCTGTTCTGATCAGTTTTTAATTAAGTTTAATATCTTATCCATCATCCATCGGACCAATTTTTTTTTTTTTTTTTAAAGGAAAAACACTGAACATTGAACAGGGAGGGAAAAAAAAAAAAAAAAAGTGCGGCGATGGCGGTCGAAGACTTGCCATGGTAGCCGCTAAGTGCTTCCGATCTTTTTAGTAGTATTTGTTACTGCTATTATTAGCCTATTAAAAAAAAGAAAAAAGAAAAAAACAAAAGTTCAAAGCAATCATGCAAGCAAAGAAAATATTGCGCCAGCAAAGCAATTACGCCAGCAAGGCAAAATTAGCAATTGGCCCAGCAAAGTAGCCATCGCGCCGCCGGCAAAGCAAAGCAAAGCAATTAACGGCTATGCCAGCAAAGTGATTGCGCCGGCAAAGTAGGCATCAATCTAGTCTTCAGCGCACAGAACCCATAAACCCGTACATTTGCGTGTCCATAACGATGAAGATTCGAAAATGACCAAGTGCTGAAGACTTGAAAACGGCCAAGGAGGTGCCCGTTGTACTGCATGCATGATGAGTGGAGTTATTGTTTGTCTAGCTGCTCAAAAGAGAGAAGCCCTCAGTGCAGTCTGACTTGTGGCTTCAATCCAACGCACAAGACAGAACGGGGATGATCAGCAGCTGCACGGGCCCCTCACAGAAGGGGAGGGGAATCATCGGCTGAAGAACCCCCCATACAAACTTGGATGCGGATGAACAGTCGCAAAAACCTGCAGAAAGTTCGCAATGGAAGATATGAGAAGAAAAGAAGGGGGGAAAAAACAAGATGCGCGATGGCTCTAATTCTCTCTAGCTATTTTTTATTTTTTTATCATGCCGCATCTCAAGCATATACAAAAAAAAAAAGGGCTGAAAAAGGCCACCCGATGTCAGATTAGACACAATATTGAATTTACCTGGGCTGGTTAGTCCGATGATAATACCTCATGGCCATCGCCCTGCAAACAAAAAAACAAAAACAAAAAAAAAAAGCAGAGGTGGGAATAGTCGACATTGTCCCCGGCTCCCGCAACATGCATCTGCAAGGGTGTTGTCGTCTCATTAACAAACTCTCTCTCTCTCTCTCTCTCTCTCTCTCTCTCTCTCTCTC